ACCCTTGTTCCCCCCACCCCCACCCCCACCCACCCACCAAACAAAGCCCACGAAGGGTGGGGACCGATGGGGGGGGCCTGCCCCCCCCCCCCCTCTTTTGGCCCCCCTCCCCCCTCCCTCCCTCCCTCCCCCCCCCCCCCCCCCCGCCCCAAACTTCATCTGGCTTCTTTGGATGCTGGCCTGCACGCTCCCAGGCCTGCTCGCCATCGCCTAGGTAACCGGGCCCGCAGCTTTCGCAGGCCGTCTTTTGTTTCCCACCCCTGGCCGTGATAAATGTGCAAACCTCCCTGGGGGGTTTTGCACAAAAGGCTCGTCTCTCTCTCTCTCTCTCCCCTTTTGTGCAGGCAGCGGTGCTTGCATTGTGAGGAGGGGGGGGGAAGCGGGGAGAATTTATCAACGGCTGACCCCCCCCCCAGTAATATGAGCCTAATTTGCAGCGGCCTTCCCTTCTTGGGGAGGGCCCCAGCAGCCCCACCGTCTCTGTATTTGGGTGGGTGGGAGAACTAAACGCCCCCTTTGCAGTGAAGGAAAGGGCAAAGTGCCCCCCCCCCCCCCCGCTTTGGCTGGCCTCCCACGGATCAACAATTGGTGACCGACTCGTATTTATGACCCCCCCGGGGGTCCCATCCTTTTGGGGGGCACCTTCGGACAAGCCAAGTTGATAGAGAAGCCAAGATTCACTGAGCAGCTGGGTTACTAATTTTAACAACGCCGGCTTTTTCGTTCAACAGCAAAGGCCGTAAAATGGGGGCAAAGCGTACTTTACACAGGTCTCCCTTACCCACAGAAATGTTGGGGTTCGGTCTTGGTCGTAAGTCAAGGACCACCTGTATTGGCAGGCTCAGGGTCCAGAATGGTCTCCTGCTTGAATAGGGTTTGGACTAGAAGACCTTCAAGGGTCCCTTCCAACTCTGTTATTCTATATCAAGGGTCTTCAAACTTGGCAAGTTTAAGACTTGTGGACTTCAACTCCCAGAATTCCTGAGCTAAGGCGACTGAAGGAGGAGGAATTCTGGGAGTTGAAGTCCACAAGCCTTAAAGGTGTCAAGTTTGAAGGCCCCTGTTCTATATTATATTCTCAATCTCTGCAACTTTAAGAGGGTGGAGTTCAGCTCCCAGAATGCCTCAGCCCGCATGTGCCAGCTGGGGAATTCTGGGAGTTGAAGTCCACAAGTGGCCGAGTTTACGTTTACATTTGATTTGATTTGTCAGTTGCTTACAGGTATAAGAATAAATGTAGTTTTGAATACATGAGATAGGTTACATAAGAAAAAATTAAAAAACAATAATAGGACAGGGACGGTAGGCATGATTCGTGCGCTTATGCACGCCCCCTAGTTTAAACTAGTTTTTTTTAAACTAGCTTCAAGATCTCCTGGCTTAAAGGCACACACACTTTTCAATGGGAGACAGAGCTGGCTGGGGAATTCTGGGAGGTGAAGTCCACCCCTCTTAAAAGATGCAGAGATTAACAAACCAGTTAAATTAAAGGGCAGATGTTTTAATAAGCTGAAGGATTTGCACATTGTTTTATAAGACAGTGCTTTTTTAAAAAAAACAACAAAAAACACCTACCTTGTTTTTTTAAGACCGTGCTATTAAAAAAGACCCTGCAGTGTTGCTCTTTATAAGGAGTTTCTTTCTTAAGGTTCAGTGGAGGCCCGAGAGAGTCTTTCCTAAACAATAGCCTTCATTTGCAGATGTACTAGTTTCTATCTGCATGCATAATAAAAGGGAACTGGAGGGCCGAGTAAGACGGTATGGCCACATGTGGCTTAGGAGAGAAGAAAAGAGCAGATAGGAAGGACAATACAGAACAAAGAGGAGCAGAAAACAAACTGAGTTTAAAAACATTAAATGGTGT